ATTTAACTTGAAATAAAGCCATGCACCTATGAACTGGAATTCTAGGGGCAATGCATTTTTGCTTCCCCTCATAGAGATCTGTGGGAGGAGTGAATGTATAGAGGGTCATCATACTCAGAGTTTCCATTATGTTGATTCCTCTGTAAGTTGGTCTGACATATGTCAAGTATCTCAACTATTTATTTATTTTTTCAGTTTTCACTACTATTATCTTTTAAAATATCAGTGTCTTTTTGAATTAAATTTTTACTTGTATTTGGGGATTGGAGTACATATTACTAATGAGGTTATTAAAGAAAATCAGCCAGTTGTATGTATAGTTTGTTTTAACTGGTACATCTTTAGTTGGGCTATCTGTGCTTTAGAAATGGAGCTGACATCGTATGAAAATTGGGTATGTGAGAGAGATAGAGGAAAGGTTACTCTAATCTCTCTTGACCAATGGGTTTCACAGTGATACTCTTAATTTAAAGAGGCCTAAGGAAGACCATGGTGATAGTGAAATTCAAGAGCTGGAATCTTAAAAAAATTATTTATTTATTTTAATGAATCATTTTATTGGGGGCTCTTAGAGAACATCTAACATCAATTGTATCAAGCACATTTATATGTTGCCATCATCATTTTCAAAATATTTTCTTTCTGTTTGAGCCCTTGGTATCAACTCATTTTCCCCCTCTCCCTTCCTATCACCCTCATGGAAGCCTGATAAATGATAATTATTATCATATCTTACACCTCCTGCTGTCTCCCTTCACCCATGTTACTGTTGTTTGTTCCCCTTGGGAGGTGGGGAATTATACGTCGATGATTGTAGTCAGTGTTCTGTTTCTCCCTATCGACACCATGAGGCTAGTGGGAATGTGGGATGGGGGGCGGGGGCGGGGGAAGGGGAAGAATTGGAATTTAAGCATGTTAACTATGAGATGTCTTTGAGACATTCAAGTGAAGATGTCAAATAGATAATAGGATACATGAGTCTAAGAATTAGGAAAGTGTCAGAGCAGAAAATATGCATTCCATTTCTTATTGAAATTAAAAGCTTTTAAAATATATGTAATCACATAGGAAGAGAGAATAAAAGCCATATGTCTGAGTATTATAGAATACTAATATGGAATGAATAAAATAGAATCGAGGAATATTGAAGATATTCAAAAATAAAATGGAACACATAAGGATTGATGTCCTAAGGATTAGTGAGCAGAAATGGATTGGTATTAGCCGTTTTGAGTCAGACAATGATATGGTCTGCAATGACAATGTATTAGGCTGGGTCTTTTCAAAATGAGACATATATGTAGAAGAAAAAGCTTTATGTCAAGAAATAATTATATATTAAGAAAGAGGCCTATTAAAGTCCATGTGTCAGATGCTACCGGGAGCCTCCTCCAGACTCAAATAGCTGCCAGGATATGAATCAGAAAGGCAAAGCAAGAAGCTTGGAGACCAGGCGGAGCTGTGTATATTCAAGGTCTGCAGAAATATGACATGGCATCAACAACTCCCAAGGACATCAGGCCACCTTGGTCCACCTGAGACCCGATACCGAATCTGAGAAGCAAGAAGGCAATGAGGCACACCAGAGAAGTTTGTAAGTCTCTCATTAAAAGGCCACATCGCTAAGGAGGCATTCTCAGCCTGTGACTTGATTGAAGGGTCGGAATCCACCCCTACCTCCACAGAGGTTCCATAAAGTTGATATAAAATCAAATCATCAAAGACAGGAATGAAAAATACAACAGGATTGATGTTGAATTCATCTTTACAAAGAACATTTCAAGACGCCCTGGAGTACAAGGCTGTCTGTGATAAACTAATTAATAGCTTTACAAAGAAGTCCAGTCTAACTATTATTAAAATTCATGCATGAACAAAAGCTAATGATGAAGAATTTGAAGAGTTCTATTATTTCCATTTGAGGATTATGTTGTGTCTGACCTATGCCACGGTGTTTTCTATTGCTTTATATGCATGTGAAAGTTGGACAGTGAAGATGGAAAATCGAAGAATCAATAAAGTTGAATTGTAGTGCTGTTGAAAAATACTGAAAGTTCCATGGACTGCTAAAAGAACAAACTGATCTTTATTGGAAGAAGTTTGGCCAGCGTATTCATTAGAGGCAAACAGTGCGAGATGTTGTCTTACATACTTTGAACGTGTAGTCAGCCGAGACCAGCCCCCGGAGAAGGACATCATGTCCGGTAAAGTAGAGTTTGGTGTTAGGTGCCATTGAGTCAGCTCTGACCCGAGACCCTCTGCACGGTAGAATGGAACACTGCATACCCCTGTGCCATCCTCACACGTTTTCCTATGCTTGAGCTCTTGGAGCAGTAGAAGGGCAGTGAAAAGGAGATAGATTGTCACAGTGACTGCAACCATAGACTCAGGAGTGGGAACCATTGGGAGGATGGCACAGGACCAGGCAGTGTTTTGTTCAGTTGTGCATGAGGTCACTATGGGTCAGAGCCAATTCAATGGCTTCTAACAAGAACAACAGAAACAATTATTTCAGTCTGAAATTGATCAGACATGCAATCAAGATTCATGGATAATTACTGGCAATTGGAAGGTGAAAATCTATTACAAAGAGATAGGGAGAGTGGGTGTAAAATACAAAAAAGAGGAAGACCCTCTACAAGATGGATTGGCATAGTGGATGCAACAAAATGGGCTTATATATGACAGCAGTTTTGAGGGTGAAATTGTTGTTTTATGTTGTACCTAGGATTGCTAAGAGTTAGAATGTACTCCACAGCACCTAAAACAACAACATTTAGACTTCGAGTAGAGGCAGAATAGCCTTCCCCAATCACAATAATTTTTACTCTTTAGTTTACATTTTTATGTCCCTTTATTCTGACAGAATTTAATGGTAGATAACAGGACTATCTTATGTTGTGAAAATTAGCTAGGCTGGCAATAAACCTAATTTTGTGTATATACATACGTGTGTATGAGTGTGTAAGAAGAAACCATTGTAAATCAATAAAGATGGGAAGAAATAGTTAATAAATATTTTTGGAACTTCTTGCTAGTTATAATAAAATTTTGAGTTCTCATTTTACAACATTGTAAAATGAATTCTAGTAGCATTTAAGTGCTATACAGAAAAAATAATGCTGTGAATAAAAGAAAATACAAATTATGTTTCTAAATAATCTATAAATGAGAGAAAAATATACATTTTAACACAAGTGGAAAAATTAAATTGCTAGCCAATGGACATAGAATCATTTATTAAACAATCCCTTATTGATTTATGATACTCATTTTATACAAGAATTTACATTTGGTAATTCAGTTTGCACACTGGTCCATCTATTGGTTCTTGATCTAAAAGTAAACATTTAATTATATTGGTGTTTCATCAAATATTTTAATATTTTATTAAAATTTTATCTGTTTTACTGGTGAATTTTTTTTCCTAGAATATCTAGAATTCTTGAAATTTTTACCTTCTTTTTACCTGTCCCCAAAGAAGCTCTCTTTTGATATTTACGGAGACTAAATCAATGTGTGAATTAATTTGAAAAGAGCTCCCCCCATCAAAAAATTTACATCAAATATGAAGAGACAAGTGTAATTCTTTAAACTACCAAACAAAAGAGAAAGCAGGAATAGGAGATGAAAAAGGAAAATGTAAAAAGATTCAGTTAATATTAGATCTGAGACCTCATGCGCACTCCCCTAATACAAGAGCACCTTGCTCAGCTAAACAGTCATTTTATGACATCTACCTT